GTATTTTTATTAAACAAGCAAGAAGTATTTTTTCTGTTGAAAAACGATAGGAGTTATAACTTATAATATAGTTTTTACAACCATAKCTTATAGCTTTTTAGTTATTACTTATTAGTAATAACTATGTTCTTACGTCTCAGGCAACACCAGCATTCAAATCAGTAAACTGTAAATCCAGTAACTGATTGTGTCATCTTCCATAAAAGAAAAAATCAAGTTAAAATTAACCATAAATCCATAGCATATCATATATTATTATGTGTGTAATTTTCAAGGAAAAAATACATTGTTATAGGAGATGATTAATACCTAACTTAAATTAAATAGACGATATTTGCTATTTATATTTTGTTTTTCGCATTAATAAATTATTATTCGTTTGATTGGTGTAAATAATTTAATGTCAAAGTACTCTAGCTTACTAACTCAACTAAATCTAGTAGTTGGTACCTTAGTACTAAAATAACATTAAATTATAAAAAAAATACTAGGTATAATATAGATGGTATATATTTGTGAGCATTTCAGGAGCAAATTACAGATTTTATAAAAGTTGGAGGGAGGCTAAAATTATTTTTAGCTTATGCTAGGCAAGTACATCTTACCTAAATTATTTATTTATTTTTTAATGAGTTAAGTATTCACAATCTAGTAATAATAAATGTGTAGGTATTTGTAATKAGTGCATGTGCTTGCAGTTATTAATACTGGATTGAATTGATACGTCTTACCTACTAGTATAGGTATAGAAATAAAGTAAAAGTTAACCTAACCTATTTAGAAAAAAAATTAACCTTCTAGACTAACCTTCTAGTTGAAAATTCACCATAAAACAATTCTAAAGCAAAATACGTCAAATTGTTTTTTCTTTAAAATATTTTCAATAAAATAAAATGGAAGTTTCGAAATCTTCACGATTTAAAACTTCTCAAATACAGATCAAATTTTAGTTGTATAATAAACAATACAAATAATATGTGATGTACAATTGTTGTATCCTTCTTGTACAGTGCAATGAATACCACATAGTATTTATTTTATTTATTTACAACATTTATGCCGTAAGGCATTACACATGATATGTGGTTAATGCGAAATATCGCATTTGGCCATGATACAGAAGTAAAACAGCTGTTAAGAGTACAATAAATATTCTAAATTTGACGAATTCATCATTTATGTACCTAAACAAAATGTATTAAAAGGCTTAAAATACCCATATTTAAATTCAAAATAAAAATCTCATGATACGCATGATCCATGTAAAAATTTAAAAAAAAATCATTCGTACCTCGCTTTGTATCTAAGACACGTTAGTATCAGTTGAGAATAATTACAGTTTAACATTTAAGATTTTTAGTATTTTTACTAAATTTTAAACAATATTTAAGTTTATTTTATTTTATAAATAAGGTGATTTTATCTTATGAAATATTTAAATACTAGTCCATTGTAAAATGTATATACGCTTATCTAATTTAATTTACTCTATTTATACAATGTATCAATATTATACATAAAAAAATATATATACATTTAGCATTATAAGAACACCTTATCTGGAAAAATAAAAATTTTGCAATATTTATCTATGAAAAGATAACTAAACGGATAAAAAAAAAATGATAATTTTTTCAAACAAATATATTTTGAGATAACATTGTAATAAATTCATCTTATACGTGTAGGCAATATAAAATGCTAATATGTATTTTATGTTATCGGTTACAAGGTAAGAAATGACCTAAATTCTTCAAAAAAATATGATATAATTTATTACAGTATTAAGTAGAACCCCACCCGTCGTGTTAAAATATTTCAGTACATTCCGGTTTAAAACTTGTGCTGACGACTTATATTATATAATACGTCTTGAGTGATAACTGATAATTTTCTAAAATATATGAAGAACTATACTGTTAAAAAAAATATAACATTTTTAATTAAAAGGATTTATACATACTACATTGAATGTCTGTCGAAGTCTACATGGATAATGGTAATTATTTGAAGTTACTTTCTTTAATTTTTTTTTTCACTTCTGTCTTGTAATAAAAATACACCAATAATTGTTATTTTATTGATTTATTTCATGCTATACTTTGTATGATTTTTGTCTTAAATAAAATGAAAATATAATAAAGTTATAATATATCAATACAAGTGTCGTTTAAATCTAACCTAAATGACTACGACGTTTCAAACGCGTTTCAGTATCCATCTACAGAGTGATCCTATACGGCTATACACCTAGTTATTCATCCACAAAACTGATCATATTATTAGCAATTCGGTTTAACGGTTGATAACAAAGACAAGATCGCTAAAATAGAAACTATAAATTAATTTTTTTTTTTTAAATCAAAAACATAGTATTATATTTTCTTATTTCAAATAGTTCAATATTTTGTAATTGTTCAAATGAAACCACTATCAAACCCAATATGAAAATATTGCGTATTAGATACCCAAATATTTTGTACGTTAAAATCATTCTTAAAATATATTAATCAAACTAATAATTTTATTATTTACTTACGAAACATCCTTACTTTAACGGTCAGATCTGAAGTAATGCGCAGTATCCATATTATGAATGTAATTGGATTTATAATTTTAATGAATGTATTTATGTGTGTAATTCCGCGTACCAATAATAATACATTAATACTTATAAATTATATGTGCCATTTGGTTTTATACGATTATTAGTAGTATACTAGTAGTTTCCGCGGTGTTTTAGACYAAATGGATTTAAGTGCAAAATACGATTATTATCCCGTATATTCACKTAATAATTTATTATATTATGTGTGTACTGTTTATACATTATTAAACCTATACTCAACATAAAATTATTGTATTATATACATTATTAATTGTGCAACGAGAGAAATTTTCACCTGTAATATAGTGCTTACCAGTTACCACAGCCCTAAGCTTTGAAAATGCACATACCTATTTCATATTTGATATAGGTATTTTAAATTATAATAATATGTTATGTTTACATACCTATGTGCACTGTACGGGTATGCTCTTTTAACAATGAAAACTCGTTATGTAAGTTAATTTTCATTATTTTAGATTCTAATTGAAGCAATGGAAGATGTTATTTTTTTTGTGCCTGTCATCACGTCTTGCCGTTTTTGAGCACAACATTCATCATTGAGTTCAAATTAAGGCATCCATTATTACATGTAGTGACCTCTTCTATAACATTGAGGTACATCCGGAACCTACTATAGATAGCATAAGAAAGTTTTTCTGGTCTTAAACTTTTTCCATGTCCAACATTATTTTTAAATTAAATTAAAATAAATGTTTAGCTATCATTGTGTATAAACACAACARTTTTTGTAAYCGTTTTTATGTTTATCTTTTAATAATCTTACATAAAATTTGAATTAGGTAAATGAATGCATCCTAAATTTGACAGGATACCTTTTTACTGTTGCTACAATGCTACATCACGCTGAACTGTTGCCTATAGTTGTCTATATACCTACACTATTGTATATGGAATGCGGCGTATAAAATTTTTTTCAAATAATGTATAAAAACATTTAATTTGCGAAAATTGATAATGATATAATGGTCAATGTTAACTGCTAAAATAATCAACTTAAACTCATTTTTGTACGTACATTGATGATATAATTAAATCACTAAATATATTATTATATAATATTAAACCTATTTATTATGGTTATTATACAATGCGCAATGTGAATGTACCAATAACGATTCATTTCACAGAAAACATTTAATATTTCAACATTTCCAACAAATATTAACGTTTTTAAAAAAAATTTTACATATTTTTAAGTAATTATTATTTTTCAAGTTTTTACTTATTTGAAACACAACATTTTAAATTTTTATTYTTAAGCATGATATTATTTGGAGTATATAGATTAGGTACATTTTAATGGGTGCAGTTAATAAGTTGAGCAATGTACCAAAATTTTACGAAGTGCTCCTGAACCACTTTACTCCACTCATAAATATTTTGAATACCTACTTATAACTCATACTTATATTATATACTCTTCATCCAAAATTCGTACACCAAAAAATATTCTGCTTTACAATCAGGAATTAAAAAGTATATTTTCATTAAAACGGTACAAATAAACTAAAACTATAAAATATAGTTTATGTTTCGAAAATCATATTGTTTTATATAGGTAATGACAAAATTATGTAAAAATCAAAATATTTTCTAAGACTTTAATATATAATTTTTGAATAAAAAATCGTCTTTTCGTCTTCGATAAAAGAATTCATATATACGTCCATTGTCCATATAAATATCACATGTTATATTCATCTCATATATTATAGTTTGCGTACTATTTTATTCAAATGTCATGGGTAAAGTGCTTTGGAAATCGTAACCACAAACTATGATTATCGCGTCGATATGCGATACATCATGAAGTTTATTATGTCGTAATGTGGTCCTTAAATGTCCTATACACTCTCTATATGACTATATATGATAACAATATAAAGGTATTTTACAGGGGCGGCTTTGGTACGCCGAAGAACGCGTGGATCATACACGACGATAATTAATGATTCGGACGACTGCTGCAGACGATGAGTGTTTATATAGCATTTCGAATTTCGCGGCGTCGTTTGACCAYCGATTTGCACGGGATACTTTCTACACATTGAAATAATTATACCGTGTGTGCCCGCAGGAACTAAATCCGGGGAGCTCGCGGCTRACAGATTTGCGAATTTTAAAAATCGGAACACTAAAAAAAAATCATTTATTCCTTACCCGKCAACCGGTTGCGCACCCAACAACCAATAATCAATAACGTCTGCGGGTATACGACGACGAGTGCGATGATAATGGAAACCGGAGCTCGAGCGATTACACGAAATATAATAAATAATAATAATATAATCTATCTCGTGTCGGTGGGTGGGGGGAACGAGCACTCACGCGCGTCTCCCGAGTGTCGATCCGTCTGTGCAGTCCGGCGTACATCGCGCCAATCGTCGTACCTCGCGTTAACATCGATCGATCACCGACATCATGATGATATTATAGACGTTTTTGTTTTGAACGTCAGATTTTCCGTATCCAGAAAAAAATAAGTGCTATACAAAATACGATCGTCCATATAATTATACACATAACCYAGGGAGACGTCATGTCCTCGCGTGCCAGACGAGTGAATCGAATCGTGATAATCGAAACGGGGGTGCCGACAATCTAGCCAATATTATAAATTTAACGACGAATCGCAATTATTTCATACGAAACCATCGTCGTGTTCGGTACGATATTATTATTAWATCGTACACGTTTAAGTATAATACGCATCTACCGAGAAACATCGTTACACGAATACCTATATTACTGCCATGTCTGCCGGGCTCAAACGGAACATCAACAACAATGTGGTCGACACCACCGCCGACCGGAAATGGAGCCCGGAAGTCCATACGAAAATATTCATACCACCCATTAGCGTCACGGAACCCCGAGCGAAATTTGCCAAAGGTAGGACGAGRCGAGTGCAGAACTGCATCTCGCGAATTCGATATAAAGGTCTCGAACTGCAGCGGTGCRCCGTATATAATATAATATACTAATACATCGATACATACTTAGATAATATTATAATAYCATTATGAWTTTTTTTTTTCAAATCGCTGMGATACGTTTAGTCTCTATTATTTAATTTCCACGCYGACACTTTTTGCTAACCGTAAAGAATAAGTGGTATAGGTACCTATGGTTATAAAATTATAATCACGAGGTAATTTCGTTACTTRYGTTGTTTTAAAAAGGTAACGAGTATTGTGWATTGTGACAGATCATGTAGCACACGCAGATGACATTTTTCTGTTATACTCATCAACTACACATAATAATATATAATAGTATTATAATTCATATTAAGTTAGGTTACATAGGGTTCTTTGGCACATATATTTTACTCCAATGAACAGTTTAATCAAATTTATYTTAAAGTAAAATAGTAGGTATGTGAATTTATAGTTCATTCACATTATCATACTTTTATATTGAAATAACATTTTGACGTTGAACAATAATTATTGACAATGTTTGATTATAATCAAAAAATAACGTATTTTTTTTTTCAAACAATACTTTACTGTTTAAAATTAAAACAAGTATTTAATTATTCTGTTTGTACAAAATAAAGTATAYTTTGGTACTTCATTAACTCTTGAGAGAGGGCATCAGTAAMCATTTTTTTGTCTTCGCGCATAGAATAAATTTAAAAAAATCTCTTCGTGTTTCASTTACTATAACTCATGCCTATTTTAAAAATTACAAAATTAATATTATTTGTGTTTTGTTACATGCTTTTTCATATTTTGATTTTTAAGAAAGTATATTAAGTATACAATTTTTAGTTGCTTATAATTATTAATAACTTTCATAATAATAGAAATATATTAGGTTATATTAGGTTAGGTAGGTATTGCATTGTTTTGGTAAATTTTATTAAATATTTATTATTTTTGTGCATAAATACTATATTTTTGAATTATACAGAGTGATCCATTTAAGTGGGTACACTATAATTATCACGAAAATTATTAAATTAAAAAAAAAATTTTTTTTAATTTTAAAGTTCATATTTTTCTAAAACCGTATAATATTTAAATTTTTTTCAGCCTTATATTTTATTGGTGAAACCACTATCAACTTTTGATTTTAAAATGGAAATATATAATTAAAATATGATGAATTAATAAAACAATTTTTTTCATAAATTTACGTATTAACATTTTTATTTTTCGTTGATTGGTTTGTGAGATACAACTCCTCAAAGTATTGGTGGTTTTTACTATTTTTCTAGTAATTGTAGAGACCAGAAGCTAGGCTTATTTTTTATAAGGAGGGATCTTTTATAAAATATAATACTCTTCATTCGTCATCTCCATTAAATTTAGATATTTTTAAAACAATAAAAAATCAATCGTCAATCAGATCAATGTCAGATTGACGGTTGCATACAACATTAACGAACTGTTATCTATACGTGGATAATAGATATATGGATACCTATACAATAATTTAATATTTTAATATATAGGTAATAGTCAGTTACCTAAAATCTTTACGCAACCACGCAAGAGTACCCTTAAAAAAATTTAAATGTAATATATATATTTAAATTTTATAATTATTAACAGGATATTGATTTAAGTTAATAACTTATTTTGCGTAGTAAACAAAATTACCTACATAGTATTTATATAATATAATTTTAAGAAAATAATATATTAYTAGAAAATCCTCCATATAATTACAGATCAAATTATAAATTTTAATGTAGATGTTTTCTTATTTATTCTAGAGTATAAATTAAATTTATCTATAAACTGTATCACACAATATTTATTCAACGTAGGTACTTATTTAATAATTTAGAACATATGACGTATACTCAATTTGAATAAATATAATATCAAGTATTACTAAGCAATAAGCATGGTAATACATTCAGTGATTCATCAAATATTCCTTCCCAATTTGTTCCCTCAGTAATAAATTTAAAATTAAATTCTGATTTTTAAGTATACCTACTTAAGAGCCATATTTCCAAAGCTTTGGATTTCATTTATGTAATTTAAGAAGAATCTTTTGGTTAGATGAGAACCATTTATTGATTTAGATGTAGATTTTTTTTAAATATTTATAAATACAAGTTGATATTTGATTKAGTAATTTTTGAGTTATTAAACATTAATAACTTACCTACTAAGGATATTTGACGGTGATAACATATTTATAAGATAAAATAATCTGAAAGTTATGAGTACCTACCTAGTGATTATTAATTATTATTATAATTATTTAATAAAATTTGCAAAGGATATTCAATTATAATAATAATAAGAATAAATATCACGTAGATTTTATATTTTACATAACATTATTATTCAGGACTATTTAAGTAATGTAAAACTTATTTTATTCTTGAAAGGTACAWACAATTTAACAGCTCAGAAAATATTCGTTTGAATTTCGATTTAGATACGTCAACATTTTCAAAAAAATCCTTATAACAATTTACTGCAATAAGGGTAGTTCCAATAATTTAAAAATAAGTCTATAATGCCATGGGAAATCCCTTAAATGGTACATAAAATCTTTGTTTAAACATAATATGGTCTTTAAGAATACTCAAAAACTCCCATAATCATAATTTGAATGAATTCAATAAGCTTTAAAAGTGTGATAATCATGCTTTATTAATCAGTTCACCCTATACACTTCTTAGTAAAAAAATTCTAACAGAAAGTGTCTAACGCACTATGTCAACGCAGATTGTATCAAAGTTAAAAAAAAAAAAAATATTTCCACTTATTAGTTAAACATAAAAATGCACGTCATACACGACTGGAGGTTGTTTGCGGTCCACGCGAAAAACACCAGCGATGTGGTTGTGGTGGTTACAACACAGCATAAAACACCTTTTTTACGACACGATTGAACAAATTTGTCAAAGTATCAAAGGATGTAGACATACAAAAGAAAACCTACACGATTGAGTATAATAACTATGCGAGGTTGTCATCTTAAATTTTGAATTTTATTATAGAAAAAAATGTATAATAATTCAAATTGTAATACGGTTTTAAAAGTTTTGGATAAAATTATTGTTATATTATTAAAATCTACATGAAAAAAATTAACTGAAACTTTGGCGACACAACTATAGCCTATAGGTGATCGAACATAACATAAATTGAATTATTTCTATGATAATGTTTGAGTTGTTATTTATCTGAATAATCTTATATTTTTTCCCAATTCTAAATGTTTAAAACGCCAGATCTATAATGRCCACTATAYAAATTGCTTKAGAACTAACTTATTAATCGTTATTCGTTAACGTAGTCGATAACGCTGGGCTCGGATCACGGCTTGTTTAAATTTGGTAATAATAAATTACAAAATGTTGGCAAAGTAAAGATGGCGACATCGTATAAAATATTTTACCTATGCTCAATTGTGTTGCTAATAATGTATAATACTATGCTTAATCGTGCTCTACCGGTTGTGGTTGAAATAGCAAAATGTCTCTACAACACCGTTCCTTTGGTTGTATTTACTTCATTGGCTATACAATATAAAAATGATGTGGTTTAATTAGGTAGGTAATAGGTATATATTGTAATTCSAAGTGATGCACTTCACCCCTTATGATRTATCAATGCTATAGATACCACGCACCTATATATTATTGCATAATACATACCTAATTTAATTATATGTATACAGACCAATAAACAGAAATCAGTTTAAAATATTTGGAGAGGGGAGAGCTAATAACTTAAAATACCTATACAAACAGTTTTTTTTTGTTGAATAGCTGGTATAGGTTTCAAGACCAAGAATATTTGGACATCATTCTGTGACCAAAAAATCTTAAAAAATACTAAATTAAAAAATTTAAGGATTTTATACTTAAGTTAATATAGCTAATTTTTACATCGGATATAGCTTATTTCAAGAATATATTAATATAATAGCTATAGCGGTTGTAATTCGCGTTCACATTACAATTTTTTCATGGGAAAGTATGAATTTTTTCTCAGTAAAAATATTTTTTAGGTTATATTATTATTAATATAAATCTACCTACCTGGTTTATTACCATTTCTTTACGTAACCGTTTCATACATTTAAAGTACTAAATTTATTTTCTTAACGTTTTTAACAGGAAAAGTTAATTTCGTATTAGGAGGCCCAACCTAAGTCTCTTACCCAGATTTCAGCCAATGGATAGGTTAAGTTACCGACGACTTGCCAATGATGCACCACTATTTCAGGACGGCTAATTCMTATAATATTGTCACACCAGGATTCAAACTAGTCTAAAAAATATTTTGACATTGAACTGATACTTATTAATCTCCTACTTACAACTTACAAACTCTTTATCTTGTATGAATATCACTACTAAAATCAAAAATTTAATTAAATAATATTATATGAGTACCAAGATAGTATGTTGTTATTCGGATCTGCAGCATTGCCAGCATTCAACAATAAAATAYATTTATCGGGTAGACTATGGAATATACTCTGTCCAGTAACAGAACACGCCAGCTCTGCGTATCCCTGAGTGACGCCTACTGCTATCAAAACCGGTTCTATAATAATTAATATGGCGTCACGTACAAGGGATGCACAGAAGAACCGTTGTATTTTGTCAGACAGCGGTGTGTTCTCTCTGTGTACTGAGTATATCTATTGCCTATACTATTACCTATAATAAAAATTATCACGAAAATAATAACTATATCCAATATAGAAAATATAATGTGTAATATTTACGATTTTGGGTTTTCCAACAGAAACCGGTGTCAAAACTGCTCAACAAGAACCACGACGGAAGTACGTGACGACGGCGGTCTGCAGCAGCGGAAGCGACAGTAGCGAAGGTGGTTGTGCGGGTGTCGGTGGCGTGGGAAGGGGCCGCCGACATCCGGTGTCACGAAGTGGTTCGTACCGTGGCCAGCCGCAGGCGTTGTCGCCCATATCGGCTGGGGCGCTGTCGCCCAGCCTGCGGTCGCTCGGCAAGCCAAGCTCRCCTTCAGCGGCCGCGATGGCCATCGGCTCCGCGAACCACAACTCGATGTCTGGCAGCGGTGGTATGTACGCGTCAGCCCATCACCAGCACCAAGACGCGTCACCGCTCCGGTCGTGGTCGGATGCCGTGTCCGTCCGGTCATTGGCGTCCATCGGAATGGGCTCGACGGACGGCCGGAAGCTGACCATCGCTAAGGTGCCCACATCGCCCGCGGAACTGCTCAACTTGGCCAGCCCTCAAACGTAATATATACAATCARACCTTTATATTATTGCATTTATTATTAATACTTTTATTTCTATTTGGTAAAGAGTTTCTGTAGGTCTAACAATTTTAACACGCGCATGGGGGATAATAAAATAWTACGACCATGTTCGTTGAAATAATTGATAAATAAGATATTTTATCATATTAATTGATTAAATATCCTAAACTAGAAAATTAATTTGATGTCACATTTCATATTTTCACATACACTATACAGGTAAATTAGTATAGTAGGTACTATATTATATTTATACAAACAATATTGTATAACAACAACAACAATTTATTCGTAATTTTTTAATGGTTAATATTTATAAATATTAAATTAATAATATATTTTTATTTAGAGAAATTTACCGGTAATCTTTAGTGTTCGCTTTCATTAATAATCAAATAATTTGAATTGTACAAAAATATTTAACAGCCTAAATATACTTATCCAGTAAATTATATTAAACGATACAGCTACAGCCCTTGATTTAATATTAAAAAGAAGGTACTTACCTTGTAAATTGAAAAATTTCTCATTTCCAACATTTTTTAAAYAAATATTTTTCATAGTTTTTGAAAGTTTGTAAACTTTTTGAAAATTTTYGAAAATTTTAGCTAATAAATCATTCTGAAAATGATATACAAATTTGAAATTTTATGTATGGTATTATTATTATATAAATACATAGTTCTAAATTTTAACACTTCTAACACTTCTAAAGATCTCGAAAATTTTATTTTGGAATATAAGCATTTAAAGTCGATTTCCATGTAAAACTAATTTTTACATCGTACTCATCTCGTTTTTAATATAATGGAGATGACAAAACGTACATTGATTTGATTTGTTACTTAACCAAAAAGCAAAATAAAAGATGTRTACCATTTACTAGAAAAAAAAAAATAAGAAAATATCATGCCCGCAGTGGATGGAACCCCYGTTTCCCCACCCTGGATCTGGCCTCGTGTTTRCCTGGAGTCTCTCTCGTTCTGTCTTTGTCGTTATAATTACTAAGCTYTTTCTTCGAATATTATTTTATTATTATTTATACAACGGCACTCTTGTGGGCTCGTGTGTATACATATCGTTATTTTCACGTYTCATATACACGCCCATTTTAATGGCGTTTGAGACGACCCCTGGGCACGACAACCAGCCGGCGGTAATTATTATGCATATCGAAATTATTTCGCCAACCAGTTTTTTATTTTGCGTTAATCTTATGCACCGAGTTYCGACTTACTGCGATCGATTAACATAATTGTTATGCCAGGAAACAACGAAAAGCAAACCGTCTTTCACAATATAAATTGTATACTATAATCAATAAGCATATTATTATTATTATTACCTACCAATTATTATGAATTATATGAAGACTTGAGCGTTTACAGTTAGCGCCACGGTACAACGTGTCTATTATTCTGTGTATTTGCAAATAATTTATTACACAGTAGATATACTCGTAGTATATAGGTACTATATTAATATTATAATGTCTGTGCACAAAAATAAATCTATTAGAACAATTTCATTGAAATCAGTGTATCAATTCATTTGTATTTAAATGTTATCGTCTAAATTGCAAGTGTCTACATATACTAATCTCTACTAAGTGTATGTGAAAAATATGTAACACGATTATAATATAGGTATAGAGGTACAATCACACTACGCGTGTCGAACAAAAAAAATCCTAAGAGTTTGGTCATCAGAATATAACCATATCTATACGCAGATAAAAAAATAATTGACGACACGTTTTAGTTGTATATACCTAATAAAATARTTATGATGATAATATTGATGTGTAGTTAGGTTATCGTCATTTTTTCTTATACAGTTATACCTATGCCCAATAAGGCAACAAATGAGCTCATTGTTCAATCGTTGCTCAGTATTTTATATGATTGTCTTACAAAAAGTAAATAGTTCTAAAGATCATAATATATAATATACYTATTAAGCTATAAATATATAAAACATCCATCTGTTGTTGTTCCATTCAAACAGTGTAATTTAATTTCAAGCAAACAGTCACAGAATTAGTTTAATGTTTGTTCTAAATGAAAACACGCGCATTACTTGATACAAATAAGAACAATATTATATTATTTAAATAATTTCAAAAAAGGTTCGAATATAAATTATAGGTATTATAAATATATTTGAATATTTTTCGAATTCTACAATTTATTTAAAGACATTAGGGATCAAATGGACTTTATCAGGTCATACCTACTGACTATTTTTCTCATAATTACGTATACATTTCCTATTTACATACACGAATATTGTTATTAATAAACTTCGTTATATGTGTTTGAAACAGTTTTTAAAATTAATTGAAACAGAGTCCTAACCTGTAGGAACGAAATTATCAGATATGATACTCACATTGCTTGCTATATTATTATATATTTATGTATATTGCACCGTCTCAATTTATTGTTGAAAAGTATTCACACAATTATGTCGATACAGGATGTTTAGTTTTTACTATTATTTGATATAGCTATTTTAAGAAAAGTACCATAGGGCACAGGTAGCTTTGTATACAATACTATCTATTGTTTGTAGAAAAAAAACAATCAATGTTCTGATAACTAAAAACTTCAGACTTTTAAGTAGTCGTAAATCTAGAAAAGTAAAAATGCCCATACAAATTTTATTCGTTTTTTTTTTTTTGGTAATGAAATATTCAAATATGTTTATTTTTTTTCTATTAAAATTTTTGTTATATTTACATTGTTATATCACATAAAATATAATTCTCGCAAATTAGTTGCTTTAACACGCGTAAATACGTATGCGTGTATTATATGTTATTTTTGTAGTCATAAAACACAATAGTAGTGAAGTAATAATAAACCTAACCTATTGTTTGCGAATTATAAACATTTAATACACACATATGTACAACTGTACAAGTGCTCCGACCATATAGATATCAATATACCATATAGATTGATCTAGAGTATAGGTGTAAAATACACCCATGTCCTATATACTTACGACTGGCTACGAGTACACGACATTGTACCGTGCCTGCATAATAGATATTCACGTAATCACATGCAGATATTGCAGATGTATAATACGGGGGTATGAGCATTACCCATAAGTAACATCAGAGGACTAAAAAAAATGTAAGCTAATAAAAGTAATATTATTTCAACATATATATTATGCCATATATTAATGATTAATATTCGTATAGTTATATACTTAATGCACAGTACAGCAAAAATAAAAATATTAAGCCCAATACAATCGATAATAAATGTATAATTCGATACCTAAATAAGAACTGCATATTTTTCGTTTCATTCCAGGTTTAATATTTCGGATATCCTTTTAGAAGTTTGATTTTCATAATCAAAGTTTGTTAAATTATAAGTTCGTATTTTTTTTTCCTGGGGGAGGGGAAACGTGTCTTATCTCGAAGTTCACAATGGGTTCCTATAAATATGTATACAAACCGATTATGTGACGTGTAATGTATAAAATTATTTAGTACTGTCACCGTGACAAATTAAAACAGAAAAGCATTTTAGTAAGTTAATACACGCATTTTCAATAAAATAAAAAGGATATATATGTATATATGTACCTATACTCATATGTAAAACGCGTCACTCCATACTCTCCCACCAACATGTRATTCAGTCGATAATAATAACGAGTTATTACGATAATACACACAGGACTTATGCACACGTTATATCATGCATTTATACTTACATGCCGTAATTTAATTGCCACCTTGTTGACGTTTTTTTTTTTTTTTTTTTTATTATCGTACCAGCCAAACTCCAATAATAATATAATAAAATAATTTATACATTTTATCGTTATGTGGATATTTTACTATAAGAGTTTAATATCGTTGAATACTTCGTTACTATTATATCATTATAATACCTATATAGGTACCTATTACCTATATATTGTTAGTTGTTAATATACGATTACAACAATTCAAAAATGCATACCCAACACGGTTTATATGAGGAGTGAGACAGTAAACTTTACATTTTTTAAGGTTTACAAACCGATTTTAATGACAAGACTGGATGCGATTGATTTTAATTACAACTGGTTCATCATCAACCATTTTCGTAGAACTCGCAATGAAAGTCTCGGATGAGTTCGGCCGCCTATCGAGTCTGCATTTTTCAATTACAATTTCCTTACATTTATATTATTATAGATGTATTAGTGAATTTAAAAAAATAGTGAAACGTTTGAGCGAATAAAGGACATCTTTAAAACTCTATTACCTACTATTTAAATTTTTTTCCCTAATAATTAAGCTCAATGCAACAATGGCCACTGGGAGCACAATAATATTAATTTAGGATACACATATTTTAAATTACCTATATATTGTTATTTTATTTTAATTGGTATACCCACTTTTTTTTTTAAATAATTTATAATATCCATAATATTATACTGTTTATTATTTATTATTATAAAATACCTTCAGCTCTTTGTTTTCTAAAGTGTAATCATATAGTTATAAATGTTATAATAATCATCAGTCATCACGTAACTATACGAATGAYAATAGATTTTAACACATCTTATTTTTCTATAAAATATAAATCATGGGAGCAGATTGAAATAAATATAATGTCATTACTTATTTGTGAGATTTTAGGACTCAATTATTAGTAGTGGTATGTTAAACAAGTAACAGTTATAACTAATTGATTAAACTATTAAAGGACTAGATATGACTAGGTTTATAATTTATTCTTATAAATTGAAAATTGAAAAATAATTGTCTTCTATATTTATCTAGATTTAATTTTATAATCTAATCATAAAAAACAATTTCTACGTGATTTTTAATTAGTCCTATCAATATAAATTGAGATTTGTTTATAGATATAGCTTGTCGGGAATGATGACTCGTCGGGATATAATATGCCAATATGTTAAATATAGTGTTTACTATTTGTCTAATTCTTTATG